CGGCCTGGTCATGGAGGTTGCCCGGACCTCCATGTGCCATGCCGGTGCCCCCCAGTTCTTGTGGCCCCAGGCAGTCCGCTACGCCGCGCACCAGCTGAACCTGTGGCCCAGTGACGCACGGCCAAGGGTGACGCCGGTCTCCCTTTGGACAGGTTCTCCGGGCGTAGCAGCTGACTTCCGCGTCTGGGGTTGTCTGGCTCACGTTCGCGCCTCTGGCGCGAACAAGTTGTCTCCGCGCACTCGTGCCTGCGTCTTTCTTGGCTTCCCTTTGGACGCCTCCGGCTGGGTGTTCTACGACCCGGTCACCTACCAGTTCTTCGCTTCGCAGGACGTCACGTTCGACGAGTCTGTCTGTTACTACAGGAGTCGCCCCCACCGAGGTACTGAGGCCTTTTCCCCCCGCTGTTCCTCACCCTTGAGCCCCCACCAGTCGCCCCGGTAGCCCCCCCCCCTTCGCGTCATGCCTCGTCAGGTGTGTCGCACGTCACTCCGCAGTCTTCCCCCCCGCAGCGTCCAGTCCCTGTCGTGTCTGGGGGTGCGGGAGGTGCAGTTGCGGAGGGTGAGGGTACTGGGGCTGCAGGAGCTGGTGGTGTCGGCTCTGGGGGTGCAGGGGTTGTGGGCGTGGAGGTCACTCCTGTGGAGGACACGGCAGCCTCGACTCGGCGGCCTCGCCCTGCCTCACCCCCTGGCTTCCCGTCCGTCCCGCAGTTTCCTCCTCCTTCTCTGCGGTCGGTTGCTGCGGAGCCTGGGGGTGTTCCTGCGGGAGGTACTGGAGGCCCCGGGGGTGTCGGTGGTGGAGGTGCTGGTTCTGGGGGTGCTGGAGCTGGAGGCACTGGCACTGTGGCGCCTACACCGCGCACGGTACGTTTCCTGACCCGTGAGCAGCGTCTCCTCCGGTTGGAGAGGGAGGAGCGTGAGCGATTTGAGAGGGCACAGCAGCAGCAGCAGCAGCAGCAGCAGCAGGAGAGAGTAGAGGAGGAGTCACAGCAGCAGCACGAGAGGGTAGCGCGGGAGTTCCGGTCGCAGCAGCGGGTGCAGCTGCAGCCGCAGCAGGAGAGGGTAGAGGAGGAGTCACGGCCGCACCAGGAGAGGGTAGAGCAGGAGTCCCGCCCGCAGCAGCAGGTGCAGTTACAGACACAGCAGGAGAGAGTAGAGGAGCAGTCACGGCCGCACCAGGAGAGGGTAGAGCAGGAGTCCCACCCGCAGCAGCAGGTGCAGTTACAGACGCAGCAGGAGAGAGTAGAGGAGGAGTCACGGCAGCAGCAGGAGAGGGTAGTGCAGGAGTCTTGGTCGCACCAGCGGGTACAGCTGCAGCCGCAGCAGGAGAGGGCCGAGGCGGAGCCACAGGAGCAGCAGCAGGGGCCGGTACCGTCGCAGCAGACGCCAGAGGAGGCGGAGCAGCAGCGACTGCGACTACGCGACCTCCCCGACCCAGCACCTGCACGCTTTGTTCGTGGTCCCCTACCGTCCCCTCCTGTTCCACCAGTTGAGTCCCTTTCCTCCTCCCAGTGGACTCGTTGTCCTCCCCTCAGTCGTGCTGTGTCTCCACAGCCCCGTCGGTCCCGTTACCGTGCAGACGGTCCGTTTCACCTTGTTCTCCGCTCTCGTGTTCCACCTCCTCCTGTCCTTCCACAGCCCCCTGAGTCGTCCCTCACTGTGCTTCACGACCCGTTGTCCGACTACCTCCGTGCCTCCCGTCCTGTCGTCTCCCGTGTTTTGTCCGCGTTGGTCACTCACCCGACTGCACCTCTGTCGTCTGTCTCAGCACTTGTTACCACTGTCTCTGGCTTTGCCTCTTCCCACCGCCTTGACTACGCCGCTCACTTGGTGAGTGGCCCTGCACGTTCTCCGTCCTCTTGGGGTGCTCCTCTCTTTCCCCTGGAGGTCGTAGAGGACAGGCAGTTCGAGCTTGGTTTCCTTGCGGCCGCTGTTCCTCATCTCTGCGCCATGCTGCTTGCCCCTGAGGGGGATCCAGACGCCCTTGACATCCCGATCCCTCGCACTCACGCCGAGGCGGTCTCGGGACCCTGGGCTTCGTACTGGATAGCAGCTGAGGAGGCAGAGATGGCATCTTATAGGTCCACAGGCACTTACGTCGACGCAGTCCCACCACCTGGGACGAATGTCGTCAGTGGCCGATGGCTCTACAAGGTGAAGCGGCCGCCTGGATCACCACCTGTGTTCAAGGCGCGCTATGTTGCGAGAGGCTTCAGTCAGCGAGAGGGGGTGGACTTCTTCCAGACCTTCGCTCCCACCCCGAAGATGAGTACTCTTCGCGTGTTGCTGCATATTGCAGCCCAGCGCGACTACGAGTTGCACTCCTTGGACTTTCCACCGCGTTCCTTCAGGGGAGCCTGCACGAGCAGATCTGGCTGCGTCGCCCGCCTGGCTTCACAGGCTCTTTCCCACCTGGGACCCAGTGGCAGCTGCGTCGACCAGTCTACGGCCTGCGTCAGGCCCCACGTGAGTGGCACGACACACTTCGCTCGACCCTTGCAGCTCTTGACTTCTTTCCGTCGTCTGCTGACCCGTCACTGTTCGTTCGCCGTGGCTCGACCCCGTTCTTTGTCCTGGTCTACGTCGACGACCTAGTGTTCGCCACTCCCGACCGACGCGCGCTGGCCTCCGTGAAGGAGGAACTGCAGAGGAGACACACTTGCACTGACCTTGGTGAGCTGCAGCACTACCTTGGCCTGCAGATCACCAGGGACAGGGCAGCTCGCACCATTACGCTGACTCAGTCGCATATGGTCGAGCAGATCCTCACGCGGTTTCGCTTCCCGTTCTCCAAGGTACAGCTCACCCCTCTTGGTGTGGATCATGGGCTCACGGCTCCACCTTCGGACGAGTCAGCTGGTGGGTTGTCTCATGTACCTGATGACCTGTACTCGCCCAGACCTAGCTTACCCTCTTAGCGTCCTTGCGCGCTTTGTTGCGCCTGGGAGACACCGAACTTCCCACTGGTACGCTGCTAAGAGGGTGGCGAAGTATGTGGCGAGTACATCAGGCATGGGACTTGTCCTTGGAGGGAAGCAGCCAGTTACACTCACAGGTTACTCGGACTCGTCGTGGGCCGACGACGCGGAGACGCGTTGGTCTACACAGGGGTACTCCTTTAGCCTCGGGGCAGGTGCTGTTTCGTGGCGGTCGACTCGGGCGTCGTCCGTCGCCGGTTCCAGCTGTGAGGCAGAGGTGTACGGTGCGGCCATGGCCGCTCAGGAGCTTCGCTGGCTGTCTTTCCTTCTCACCGACCTTGGTGAGCGGCCTCGCTCTCCCCCAGTCTTGTTCGCCGACAACAGGTCTGCTGTCCTTTTGTGTGAGGAGCCCCGACTCGTTGGGAAGGCGAAGCACATCCAGCTTCGTTACTTCCTTCTGCGTGAGTTGCAGCAGCGTGGACATGCACTCGTTCGACGTGTGGTCTCTGAGGCCAACATGGCAGATATCTTCACCAAGGCGTTGCCGCCTTGTGACCACCAGCGTTTCTGCACCCAGCCTGCCCGTCCTCACTTGGTTGCTTAGAGATGCCTTGTCCTGCATGTCTTGTACTCTTGCATCTCTTTATATTTGCTATATACCTGCATGTGGACTGGCCTTGTGGCCCCTTGCTTGCAGCTCCACCCTGAGATTTGTCTTGTTCTTGTAGACTGGTCTTGTGACCGTTGCTTGCTCTTGTTGTTTCTACAGGACTTCCGTCACCTAGACTATGGGGGTGTGTCAACATATATTTTATATGTGTTGTTTAGGTTAGTCTAGGTGTTACATTTCTACTTACTTGCATGATTAGGGTTTGCTATATCTAGGGTTGTACTTCACATTTTCTATCAATTCATTCTTATCGTAACAAAGCTATCTTGGCTTGCGGATCACCCCGGACAGAGCACAGCGCACCATCACCTTGACTCAGTCACACATGGTGCAGCAGGTCCTTCAGCGCTTCCGCTTCACGTACTCCTCGCCTCAGCCCACTCCTCTGCCTACCGGTCACTCGCTCTCAGCTCTGCCTTCGGTTGAGTCCGTAGAGCCGAGTGGCCCGTATCCAGAGCTTGTGGGCTGCCTCATGTACCTGATGACCTGCACACGACCTGACCTAGCCTACCCTCTTAGCATCCTAGCACACTATGTCGCTCCTGGCCGTCACAGGAAGGAGCACATGGATGCAGCTAAGAGGGTGTTGCGCTACTTGTGCAGTACGTCGGGCATGGGGCTTGTGCTTGGAGGACGGGCTCGAGTTGTCCTCACTGGCCACTCAGACGCTTCTTGGGCTGACGACCAGGCTACGCAGCGGTCGTCTCAGGGTTACACCTTCAGCCTTGCCTCTGGCTCTGTTTCCTGGCGTTCTACTCGCTCTTCCTCTGTTCTCAGCTCCAGTTGTGAGGCTGAGATCTACGCCACAGCCATGGCTGCCCAGGAGCTACGCTGGCTCACCTACCTGCTGACCGACCTCGGAGAGCAGCCTCGTTCTCCTCCAGTGCTGTACGTCGACAACAAGGCTGCCATTGCCTTGTGTGAGGAGCACAGACTGGAGCACAGAACGAAGCACATCGCTCTGCGCTACTTCCTCGCTCGAGAGCTGCAGCAGTGTGGTCAGCTCCGTCTGCGTTACGTGGCCACTCGGGCCAACACTGCTGACGTGTTCACCAAGGCACTTCAGCCTTGTGACCATCAGCGCTTCTGTACTGTTCTAGGCCTTGTGCCTACTCTCCCTCACTTGCTCACGTCTTGACTTTGCTTGTACTGTGATCTCTATATATATACCTGCATGCTTTCACTTGCTAGGTTGTGATCACTGTACCTCTTGTCTTTTAATCAAACTGCATGTGAACTGGTCTTGTGACCACTTGCTTGTGCTCGGAATTTGTGTGGTATTCTTGAGATCCACCCTGAGCTTGCTTTTCTTTTCTTGACTGGTCTTGTGACCTCTTGTTCTCCCCCACTTTGCCTATGGGGGTGTGTCAAACTTATATGCTATAGCTTGTTTAGGCTGTAGTGGGTTAGACAATATGGGGTACAACACTTTAGGGTTTCACTACTTGTACCCAACTTCCTGCTAGTTCAATCATTCCTGTTTCTTCCATTCTAACACCTTCGTGCTGCTAGTCCTACTGTCACGCGTTTCCTGGCCACTGTTGTCACTGACCCTTTGTTTGAGTCCACTGCTGCGTCTGCTCTAGTTGCTGAGCTTGTTGACTTTGCTGCCGCCTCTCGTCTAGACTACGCTGCTAGTCTTGTTGTTGAGTCTGAGTCTGAGTCTGTCTGTCCTCCGTCCGTCGGGGGTGAGTGTGCTCTTGGCACGGACGTCCTTGAGGACAGACAGGAGGAGTTTGAGTGCTTTGCCGCTGCTTTACCTCATCTCGTGTCCATGCTGCTTGCCCCTGAGGGAGACCCGGATGCACCAGACATCCCGACCCCGCGCTCTTACGCAGAGGCGATAGAGGGTGCCTACTCCTCTCAGTGGCAGACAGCCATGGACATAGAGATGGCTTCCTGGAAGTCCATAGGCACCTACGTCGACGAGGTTCCCCCACCTAGGGCGAACATCGTCAGTGGCATGTGGATTTTCAGGGTGAAGCGGCCGCCGGGTTCTCCGCCTGTCTTCAAGGCGCGTTACATTGCACGAGGCTTCAGTCAGCGACAGGGAGTTGACTTCTTCCAGACCTTCTCCCCTACCCCAAAGATGACCACTCTTCGGGTTCTGCTGCACGTCGCCGCTCAGCGTGACTACGAGCTTCACTCTCTTGACTTCAGCACTGCTTTCCTACAGGGCAGCCTGCACGAGGAGATCTGGCTGCGCCGCCCACCTGGCTTCACTGGGTCGTTTCCTGCTGGTACCTAGTGGAGCCTCCGGCGGCCAGTCTACGGTCTCCGCCAGGCGCCTCGTGAGTGGCACGACACACTGAGGACGACTCTTGCTGCTCTTGGGTTTGCTCCTTCCACTGCTGACCCGTCGCTGTTTCTACGCACCGACACCTCTCTGCCGCTGTTCTTCGTTCTCGTGTACGTCGACGACTTGGTCTTTGCTACTGATGACACTGAGGCACTTGCCCACGTGAAGTCGGAGCTGCAGAAGAGACACACGTGCACAGACCTGGGTGAACTGACCTGCTATCTTGGCTTGCGGATCACCCGGGACAGAGTACAGCGCACCATTACCTTGACTCAGTCACACATGGTGCTGCAGGTCCTTCAGCGCTTCGGCTTCACGTACTCCTCGCCACAGTCCACTCCTCTGCCTGCCGGTCACTCGCTCTCAGCTCCACCTTCGGACGAGTCCGCAGAGCCGAGTAGCCCGTATCCAGAGCTTGTGGGCTGCCTCATGTACCTGATGACCTGCACTCGACCTGACCTTGCCTACCCTCTTAGCATTCTAGCACGCTATGTCGCTCCTCGCCGACACAGGAAGGAGCACATTGATGCCGCTAAGAGGGTGTTGTGCTACTTGTGCAGTACGTCGGGCATGGGGCTCGTGCTTGGAGGACGGGCTCGAGTTGTCCTCACTCGTCACGCAGACGCTTCCTGGGCTGACGACTTGGCTACGCAGCGGTCGTCTCAGGGTTACACCTTCAGTCTTGGCTGTCAAATATACTAGGAGTACGGCCTAGGCTTAGTAGCCTAGGCCACAGTAGGACTACGAAAGGAGGCGCCAAGTACGAGCTAGGATTGTGTGCAGGAACAGAATTGAGAAGGAATGATTGAACTAGCAAGCAGCAGGATACAAATGGCAAACCCTAAGGGCCTGTACCCCCACTGCAGGCTACACAAACAACATATTCTGACACACCCCCATAGCCAAAGTGGGGTGTAATCAGCACAATGAGCAGGCAGTGCAATAGTTCACAATTATCAGCAAAGCTAGAGGCTATCACAGAGGGCAAGTGAGGAGGAGGGGGGACTGTGAGAGGAGAGAAGATGGGAGGCGACGACTGAAGCTGCAGACACACGGGCAACAGAAGCGGCTGACACAGTGGCGGCTGACACAGTGGCTACCGAGGCAAGGGCCCCGGACTACTGGAGTAACTGGCTCTGCGGCTACGACGAGCGGCAGAAGCAACGGACCCACGGGCGACTGGTGCAGCAGGCTCTCTGAGCTACCGGCGACAAGGGCCCCGGAATACAGGAGTAACAGGCTCTGCGGCTGCGACGAGCGGCAGGAGCAACGGACCCACGGGCAACAGGTGCAGCAGGCTCTCTGAGCTACCGGCGACAAGGGCCCCGGAATACAGGCGCTGCGGATGACACGACGGCTGCCTCCACTCAACCTCCCCCAACTGTCCGACACCCCCCTACACACACCCCCAGTTTCACCCCTAGCTCCACTCCCACATCACCCCCCTAGCTCCACTCCCCACGGCTCCCACACCTCCACCCCCCCGCAGCGGCAGCTGCAGCAGTGGGAGACGAAAGAGGAGGAGGGGAAAGGGAAGGGGAAAGCCCACACCTCCCACCCCCATGCTCGCCACCCCACCCCCCAACCACCGCGGAACGCACGGCAGAACGGGAGAATGGGCAGCACGGGGGGGGGGGAGGGGGGGGGGAGGGGGGGGTTGGGGTGCAGGGACGGCATCACGAGCAACTGCAGGGGCGGGCCGCTGCAGTGGTGGGCGGCTCCAGGGGCTGCTGCTGCAGTGGCGGGCGGCTCCAGGGGCGGCCGCCGCAGTTGAAAGGCAGGAGGAGGGGGGGGGGGGGGGCCCGAGGGGCGACGAGAAGGGAGCCGCGCGGCCCCCCCCCCGGGGCGCCGCGACGGGCACCAGGGAGGGCGCCGCGACGGGCCCCCAGAGCCGCCTCGACGGGCGACGGGGAGGGCACCGCGCGGGCCCCCTGAAGTCGCCTCGACGGGCGACGGGGAGGGCCGCGCACGGCCCCCGAAGTCGCCTCGACGGGCAACGGGAGGGGACCGCGCGCAGCCCCCGTGGTCGCCACGACGGGCGACTGGTGGGGAGGCCGCGCGAGCCCCCAAGGTCGCCTCGACGGGCGACGGGAGGGGAGGCCGCGCGGGTCCCCGAGGTCGCCTCGACGGGCGACGGGAGGGGAGGCCGCGCGGGTCCCGAGAGCGCCTCGACGGGCGCTTCGACGGGAGGGGACCGCGGAGGCCCCCCCAAGGGCACCACGACGGGCGCCACGGAAGGGAAAACCGCCAGGCGCCCCGAGCGCGCGGCGGGCAGAAATTAGGGTTTCGCCGCCGCGCACCACGGGGCGCGCGGCGGACAGTACGGCAGCGGAAGCGGGTGGTGGGCCCATACACAGGAAGGCGGCAGACATGTCGCCCTCTGATACCATGTCAAATATACTAGGAGTACGGCCTAGGCTTAGTAGCCTAGGCCACAGTAGGACTACGAAAGGAGGCGCCAAGTACGAGCTAGGATTGTGTGCAGGAACAGAATTGAGAAGGAATGATTGAACTAGCAAGCAGCAGGATGCAAATGGCAAACCCTAAGGGCCTGTACTCACTATTGAGTACCCCACTGCAGGCTACACAAACAACATATTCTGACATTGGCTCCGGCTCTGTTTCTTGGCGGTCTACCCGCTCGTCTTCTGTTCTCAGCTCCAGCTGTGAGGCTGAGATCTACGCAGGGGCCATGGCTGCACAGGAGTTACGCTGGCTCACCTACCTGCTGACCGACCTGGGAGAGCCGCCTCGTTCTCCTCCAGTTCTGTACGTCGACAACAAGGCCATGATTGCCTTGTGTCGGGAGCACAGACTGGAGCACAGAACGAAGCACATCGCTCTGCGCTACTTCCTTGCTCGAAAGTTGCAGCAGCGTGGTCAGCTTCGTCTTGCTTACGTGGCCACTCGGGCCAACACTGCTAATGTCTTCACCAAGGCGCTTCAGCCTTTTGATCATAAGCGTTTCTGTACTGTTCTAGGCCTTGTGCCCACTGGGCCTCACTTGCTTACTTCTTGACTCTGCTTGTACTGTGATCTCTATACATATACCTGCATGCTTATACTTGCTAGGTTGTGATCACTGTATTGCTTGTTCTCCTTTATATAACTCTGCATGTGAACTGGCCTTGTGGCCATTTGCTTGTGCTCAGACTGCGTGGTGACGTCGTGATCCACCCTGAGCTTGCTTTGCCTTTCTTGACCGGTCTTGTGACCTCTTGTTCTCCCCCACTTTGCCTATGGGGGTGTGTCAAACATATATGACATAGTCTGTGTAGGCTGTAGTGGGGTAGTCAATATAGGGTACAACACTTTTAGGTTTCCTACTTGTACCCACCTGCTTGCTAGTTCAATCATTCGTTCCTTCACTATTCTGACACCGACCTGATGGAGAACGACAAGGGCGATGTGGAGCAGCGGCTAGCAAAAAACGAGACGTGCAAATTTTGCGGCGCTACAGGACATCTTATCTTGGCGTGTTGGAAAATGAAGAGAAGGCGTGCGGAGATGAGGGACAAGAACAGTGTGGCACCCCCGAAGCAGAAAACGGACAACGTGGCAACTTCGGAGAGGGCGAAAAAAGGAGAATATGGTGGCGCAAATTTAAAACGTCACGACCAACCGGCACCAGGGGAAATCGCCGAGACTAAAGGAGGATCTGCGAAACAAGACCCTGCACCGACTGGGAAACTCCAGCCGTACACCCCGACAAGTAAGAATATTTCTTCTCGTGGGTTTCAAGCCTTTATTAAGGGAGAGTCAGAAATTAAACCGGTACCGGGTAATATGGGGACCCTACTCCAGAGCGCTAATACGGGTCGAGCGTTCCGAGGCGTTACTATTCTCTCCCTGCAGCACTGTTTAAAGGCTCCCTGTTCCCCACAGATGAAGCCTACACCTGCAAAGGCTTTGGGGAAGGTTCCAGGCCCAAGAGAAGTTGAATCGGCCTCGGATAAATCCTTCTAACATTTCTCAGTTGAAAACTGATATTGAAGCTGCATCTTCGAGCGCAGGACCTAGGGATGACATATTCGACGTACCCTACGATCCTATAAGCGATAACATCTACAGCTACTCGGAGCAGCAGCAGCCACTACTCCTCGAGGTGATCTGCAACGGGCGACGCCTCCAGGCACTAGTGGACAGTGGTGCGTCCCACTCGGTGAGGGACCGCGGGACGTTGGAGAAAATTGGAGAATCATCAAAGGAGAGCCAATTTACAGCAACGATGGTGGACGGTACGAAGCTTCCCATCCACGGCGAGTCAACACTGCAGCTGCAGATAGGAGCGTTGAGGTGGAAGCCGACGTTGCCGATCACGAACATCAAGGGATTAGATTTCATCTTGGGGCGAGATTTTCTGAAGCGGTTCAACCCCGAGATCGACTGGGTCAACCGGAAGGCGTGCATCTACAACAATGGGAAACGTGTGGAGCTGAGAAGCTGGATGGATACAGGGAACGTTCCTGAGACGACACTTGCACGGTTCGAGCGGACAATGAACGAGAGTAACACGGGTTACTTAGCACTGGTGATAGCAGCAGCAGGGGAGGAAAAGCCGAACACGGAGCTAACTACAGCAGTACAGGAGGTGATGGAGCAGTACAAGGACATCATGCCAGATGACCTGTCTGCAGGAGTGCCTCTAGCACGCACCCACGAGCACGAGATCGTGGAGGAACCAGGTGCGAAACCCGTCTCACGTGCACCATACCGACTAAGTCCGACCGAAGTGACAGACATGAAGAAGCAGATAGAGTATCTATTGGACAGACAACTGATCCGCCCATCCACCTCTCCTTACGGTGCACCAGTTCTCTTCACTACAAAGCCAGACGGTATTTTACGGATGTGCATCGACTACCGCGCACTAAACAAACAGACAGCATTGACTACAGCGCCAGTACTCATCCTACCGGATCGAGACAAGGACTACGTGGTGGAAGCAG